CAATCTGAGACATCTGCATCCGCCCGAAAGACAAATTCCGGATTCGTAGTGTCCTGACTAGCGGAGTTTCGCTCGACACAAGCAGCTGGAGGTTATTTTCTAAAATATCTCTGATTTTCTCCATAAAGTACTGGATAAGTGCTGAAACGTGAGCACGCTCGTATAAGCAGCTTAGCCACTACACACAGCCTTACCTGAAGGCCGTTAAACCATGAAGACCCTTCTTTGACATGTCCTCCGTGTCTGACACAGCTGTCAATTCTAGTCGATCACGTGTCTGTGATCGTGTAATATGCTTCTAATCAACTTCGTTCGATCCCCCGTACTTTAATTCTTCAGATCTGATTCGCAGCCTTGTACGAGACTGTGTTTCATTGGCTTCCGCCAGTGAAAAATAATTCTTGAAAAACGGTCACTTTCTTTTACCAGGAAGACGACCTTATGGATAAACTACGTGATAACATTGCTTCTAATATAGACAGAATCCACTGGTGGTTGACATATAAACTGGCTATTTCATCAATGGGCGTCGTTTGAAGCGATGTTTTAACGAGCGGAGACACGTTCAGGACCTCACTATTTCTGTCGGTGTTGACATCCGAGATAGAAAATAGTTCCAATTTTCGAAAATAACGGAAAAAGAAAGTAAACTAAAACTACCAGAGATCCAAAGAAGGACATGTTCCAGATCGTAATGTGAAGAAAGGCCTAAACTGTTTAACAAACTAGAATACACGGTATTCGGTAGCTCGTAGGAATATTTGTTTGTGTGCCATGATCAAAACTCCGCCATTTTGTTGTCTTACGCCAAGGGGATTGTTTGAGCTGTCTTGTCACAAGATTGTTTCACCACCATGTGTCTTGACAAGTGGCCTTGACCTTCAAGCAAATCGGAAAAAGGAAACTTAACACCTTGAAATATGGGTCGTGCTTAAATAATGAACTAATCAAATATCACCATGGCTCCTCGTACACTGTGATCTAATGGTATTGCAACAAGTAACTTGGAGGTATGGTGTAGCTGATTTAAATACAAAATTGACAAACTTTATGGATAACAACTTCTTTAATACGTATTAAAGAAGTTGTTATCCATAAAGTTTGTCAATTTTGTACTTCCCAGCTTCTAAAATGCCACTCAAAGAAGTTTACTGATTTAAATAAACTGTTCTTTGCTGTCCAGTAAACCTTGTTCTGTCAACAACTTTATAGTTCCATTATGAAAATAATCATTATTAGATTTAGATATCTTTACCTAACAAGCAACACTTAGCAACTTCTCAATTCAATGTTCTATTGTCATATAAAGTCAGCCTTTTCCAATTCATCTGAAACACACTACACGCAGACGTACAGCGTGTAGAAAAGAAAAAGCCCAAGACTGAGAGAAATAAAAGTAATCATATAGTCTCTCATTTAAACGTAACTGTAGATTGTGTCTAATCATCTCATACCTACACTTCATGTTACACGGATGATCGAATCTCAGACACCTGACGTCAGCGTTAGCTGAAGATATTGTCACCTTGCAGAAAATACGACACTATAATAATCACTTACTTTCAAGATTGTAACCGATACTTGCTGGATACTCCAAAATCGATACAAATCACTCGAACTATGGCCGGTTGGAATAAACTGCCTTTGAAATTAAGGCATGGTGTTTCAGCAGTGTTATACACCAGACCTGGAAATCAGCTCACTCTGTAATTACCTTTCCTAAATTAGCCTTACGTATACTTAATCGTAGACATTGAACACGTTTTGTTACAAGGTCTGGGGTAAGTCTTCACTCTCTTTGACAATAACCTAACGAGTAAGACGCTAACAAGATCTCCTTATACCGTAGCTACAGACCATTGTACTTCCATCAGTGGTAAATTCTTGACAAACTATACTTTTCTGTAATTTATTTCTGTCTAAACACTGTTATTTTCTTAGAATAACTGATACTCGACCTCAGACAAAGCGCATTAGTAATACAGTACATGACTATAAATGCGCTATTGTCTCTAGGCAATAATAGGCAATAATAGACCTTGTTAGTTTATAAATCACAGGTTTGTAGGTGCAATTTCCATAGAGAATTGAGGTAACTATCCACAAGCCGAAAGCTAGACGGTGTTGTGACATAAATATCAGTTCATTTTGGTTAAAGCGTGTATGTATGTATGTATGTATGTATGTATGTATGTATGTATGTATGTATGTATGTATGTATGTATGTATGTATGTATGTATGTATGTATGTATGTATGTATGTATGTATGTATGTATGTATGTATGTATGTATGTATGTATGTATGTATGTATGTATGTATGTATGTATGTATGTATGTATGTATGTATGTATGTATGTATGTATTATAGCCCAGCGGATAAGTGATCATATTGTGCACTTTGTGTTACAAGCATGACATTTGGCGTGATTGTAGCTTATACCCTTCTAATTGAATAAAGATCGAGAGGCCTCGCAGATTTTTTAATATTTTCCATAATTTTTTGGGGGAAAGGTGAAAAAAATCATTTTTTCTACTATTTATAACTCACCTCATAACTTCTTTTAAAATTCTCAAATTTTCATAATTCATATATCAAATTGTAGGAAATTCATAGCTCCAACATATCCTAAAACTAGTTCAATCTCAGGTAAAGATTTAGAGTGAAAAGCAAGAAAGCAGTTCATAGAATGGCAATATACGATGCAATACACCCAGCAGTTGATCGTCAAGTGAGGGTTTCTTGAAGGGATGTAGACAGTTTGATATAAATCATCCGAGAAAACTTAATATAAAACATGCAATACTGGACAGGATGATTTCAACTACTATTCAGGCTGGGGTTCTTAAATCTACCAACAGTGAAATGAGCTTACAAGGGCACCAGAGTACGAAGGAGTGAGTGAGTGAGTATGGCTTAACGCCGCTTTCAAAACATTTCCAGCAATCTCACGGCTCGGGACACCAGAATTTGGCTTCACACATTGTACACATGTGGGTAGTCGAACCAGGGTCTTTGTCTTAGGCAACCCTAGAAACAAATTATTTTTTTCACCTCCCCAAAAAATCGAAGAGAGAGACATTTGGTGCTGAGGGCCTGTTCTGCCAAATGATGTCAGTAGGGCATCAATTTAGCTCAATACCTCTATTGAGTGTGTCTGTGTATGTGTTTACACATAATCTACAGTCAGGTTGTTCCATACGTTCCTTATCGTGTTAAACAAGTCCTCTTTTGTCCTCATGTCCACTGTTCTGTTGTGGATGGCTCTTTCATTTCCAGCCAAATATGTTCAATGATGTATAAATCCAGTGACTGTGTAGGCCAAGTCAGACACTTATAAACTTAATATTGCTCTCTTATTTGTATTCACCAATGATACAGGCCCGATCTAAAAGTGCTAAAGTTCCTACACCATGCACAGAGAAACAACTCGCACACCATAACAGACACCAGCTACCGTCGTAATGGTACACATTGCGGGCAGTTGACTTCGTCGGCCTTTCTCCCAATGTATACATCTGTGCATAAAATAAGCACCACCCCGTATTTTTACCACTTAATTTTGTCTTAAATGAAATTCTAAACTCTTTCCAAAAAATAACCTTTATAATGTAATAGAGCAAGCATTTAACATTTCAAAAACGAAAACATCATTGAAATTACCAATGCATGTATTTAAATTAGGATAATTGCCTATATTAAAAACAGGTGTTTTTCTGTCCTAAAACAAGGTACCTTATTTTGAAAAGTGAAAGTAATAATTGATTGTTGTGTGGCCTATAAATTCGTTATTTATTATGAATGGATGAAGGTTTGTGAACTAAGATTTAGGAAAAGATACAGTCAAACTAAAAAAAAGGAAAATTTTAAAATGCAGTAAAAATTGCTTTACAAACAAAACAAACAGATTTTAGCTGTAATTAGTATGCGGCAAGGAGAAGTTTTTATTCATTACAAAAAACCTCAAAATCATAAAAAAAAATTATTCCAAAATCTTATTAATGTGGCCTTTTTCAGTTTTTGTCAATTATCAATCTGAATTATTGGAAAAAGGTCTGAATCTTTGACATTCGGGTTCTTCCTGATTAGGCATAATTAAAGCTTACTTGATGTGAAAATGTCATCTTAGTATATAACACAATTGTTATTTTTAGTCAAAACTTAATTTAATTGTGTAGTTTGAGCAGGAGAGGAATAGTTATTTTGGGTAAAAATTCAGTCCCATCACATTTTCATCAACATATTCTTTCATAAAGAAAGGAGAAGGTTATGGCATTTGTAAAACTGTCAGTGGATAAAGCATTTTTAACTACAGATTAAATTGATGGCTATACCCTAACCTATCTGTACCATCACATCTTATTTTCAAAAGAGGGTGGTGCTTAATTAATGCATAGGTGTATATAACGGTTACTTATGTCGAATACTATTTGACTTTCATCCGTAAAAATTACAGAATTCCAGTTACCGTCCACATTCTATGTGCTTACACCACACTTCTTACGATATATTGCTCGCTCAACCATATTCTCTTCAACAATATTTTAATAAAACCTTAATTATACAAATTTCTCGGTACATGTCTCCCAGACACAGGGTGTTCACATTCTCAGTATTTTTGGTACTAATGACAGTTTAAATTGAAGTGTGATTATTTTTCACTATTCAAAAAAGCGAAGTCCTGTCCATGTTTGACGACGTCCTTTTCGAGGCCGACCTTCCTTCAACACTTCTGGTCACACGAAATTATTCAACAACACTGTGAATGTTAGTCCTAGGAATAACAATCTGGCAATTTCACTTAATTACTGTGCTTCCTGATTGAATCAAACAACTAGTTGGTTGGTGTGGGTGTCGAATTTTAAATATATATTTGCAACCAATCTGGACAGGCAATAAACGCACCGAGAGCAGACGACAATTGTAATTTATCACGTGATAGTCACGTGCCCAAACTACACCATCGCTTTGTGTGCATTACGTAGAACTCTGACGGCGCTGAACGAACAAAGATAGCAGAAACCGACATGAATAAAGTGTTCCAACACACTATAGAGAGGACTTGAAGCATAACCCTCACTGTACACAGTATACACAGCGGTGCACACCAGGAAAGACGACGTAGAGGAGAAACATATATAGCCATTACCCTTTAGCTAGGTAAGGAAAGTTCTAATGCACGCCAAAATACGCATAACACTTGAGGTCACTGACTCTCTCTCTCTCTCTCTCTCTCTCTCTCTCTCTCTCTCTCTCTCTCTCTCTCTCTCTCTCTCTCTCTCTCTCTCTCTCTCTCTCTCTCTCTCTCTCTCTCTCTCTCTCTCTCTCTCTCTCTCTCTCTCTCTCTCTCTGTGTCTTTGTTTGGGTGTGTATGTATGTTGGTGTCGGTGTGTATGCGTGGCTGTTTCTCTGTTGCTGTGTCCGGATGTGTATTTCTGGTAACAGCTCAATAGAAATATCCCAGCCATCCTGAGGACAAAACAGTCAGCGAGTCTATGTGCACCGTCTGTGTCGGTGTTTGTGCGTATATCCTCGGAGTGGGCTCGGAGTAGGATTTCCCACACCTCCATGCCCTCACTCCCGACCCTGTACATATGAATGCAGTAATGTCACATCGAGTCCATAGACGAATGTGATGTAATGTGATATTTCCCTATACAGCAGAAATCAAAACATGCCATGTTTGAATAGAGTCTATAGTCCGTTTGGCTCAAAAGCGTACCGATGAATTGCAATCTAACTCGAAAACTAATAAACATAAAATACTCAATGAAAAGCTGATCATAATCAAAACATCATACCCACTCTGTGAGGTTTTTGCAGAATTGTTGTCCTAAAAATATAAAAGTTGTTTAACAAACTATCATTAAAATATTGACACAGTTCACTATTTGTTACGAGGGAGGAGTGTAGAGAAAGGGACAGCCAGGTGTTCGAGAACGGATGGAGACGGCACAGCACAGGTTAATGAATAAATAACTTAGCATCGATCTACGCAATTGGGAACCGATGACATGTGTCAACCAAGTCAGCGATCCTGACCACCCGATCCCGTTAGTCGCCTCTTACGACAAGCATGGGTTCATGAAGGCCATTTCTAACCCGGATTTTCACGGGTTGTGTGCATGTATGTGTGAGAGTGTGCGTATACATGTATATATGAGTGACTGTGTGCCCGCGAGTGTGAACATACTCGTGTGTGTGTGTGTCTCTCTCTCTGTGTGTGTGTGTGTGTTAGTGTTGTTGTTGTTTTTTGTGTGTGTGTGTGTGTGTGTGTGAGTGAGAGAGAGAGAGTGAGAGAGACTACATGTGAATACGTGCGTGTGTGAGTGTTTATGTCGGGTTATGAGTGTCTGTGCACTTGTTTGTGGGTGGGTGAGTGCGTGCGTGCGTGCGTGCGTGCGTGTGTGCGTGTGTATGTGACCATCGTCTTTTGAGAATCGTGACTGGAAGCAGAGAAGCGATCAACCTGGTCACCTAATCCTTATTGGAAATTAATTGGCCTGTTTCAACAGTACGATACAAGTGCGCCATTATATTGTACATATTATATACAATTCAATACAACGTCATATCTCGACTCATAAATCTATGATAAACTATAGAGTTACGACAGGTTACGAACGCTTTGAGGATCTGGACGCAATTTTGTAAAATCGTAATTAATTTGTACATTGAACATACAAGTGTTTTATTACATGATAATTCACTGATCTTCTCCTTCAGAAGGAACTAAATGGCGCCAAAAGCAAGAACTCCGAATATCCAGATGTTACATGGACTGAAAATTCGAAGTTTTTTGGCCTCTAAAATGATGTACGAACAGTCAACCAGATACAATAACTATGCTTTTTGGGCAGTGATGGTAGCTAGTGGTCTTATGGGCTTAGCTGCTGCTAACCTATGCGAGAATCTCCCCTTGGGTGATGATCAGAACAAATGGGTTTCAGCATCTAAGATGCTCATCGGAGTGGTCTCTGGATTTACAGTCTCCTTTCAAACTGGCAAAGTCTTTCTCATTGATTACTTTGAAAAAAAACAAGGAATCTATAACGAAACAGCATCAAGTTGGCAAAAGCTGGAATTGGACATTGAATTATTTCTTAACTCTATCGAGATCACAACCACAGACAGAGATATCAGAGAGTTTACAAGTGAATGTATAAAACAACGAGATGTTATATGCTCCAAGTCCAAACCAGAGGAAGACATTTATCAGAAATACCATAATAACCCCGATTTAGTGATCAAGAAGTATCAGAAAAAACACACTGTCATTGCGTACATTCTACAAACACTTGATCGGGAGGAAGAAGCAAAAAGAGAAGAACGTCAAGAAGAAGATCAAGAAGATGAATATGACCTGGTTTGTTGGGCTTGTCTTCCCTTTGGTGTATATTATCATATTTTGTACCATCCGATCAAATTCTTTATGCAGTATGTCAACGAAAGTCGATGTAATTACCACCGTGAACATTTCATTTAAGAATGTAAACAGGATGTTGTGATTCTCTATTCAAATGAGTGAGCTGGCTTCAGACAAGACAATTTATTCAGTATAAAGGCCACGAGCCCACACTTTGAAGTACATTGCTGTGCTCAAGTTACGCAACTCTACTCAGCTAATTGCGGTACCTTGAGACGACTGAAACCCATACCACCGTTTCCCTATTTACGCTTATGGTACCTGGATTGCATGGGTTATCTCCCAAAACTTAGACAGCCAGATCTTAGACACTAATGAAGGGGATTAATTAAGACAACACCTATGGCTGAAATGGAAAAGTCCTAATTAGTGTTCCCTGCTGAGTAGACATAGCTTGTATTGATAAGTAAATGATATGAACTGTACACGGGTGATTAAGTTAAAGATGCATGATATTTTTTCATTTGAAAATCTCCTCACAAGATTAAAAGGGTCAACTGTTTTGATACCTTAAGTGGAGTACCTATGAAATAAATAAAACAATTGAAACTGTAATGTATGTGTAAACTCAATTCTTTGAAGGTCATTAGACTGACTGACTGACTGAGTTTGGTTTTACGCCGCTTTTAGCAATATTCCAGCAACATCACGGCGGGGGACACCAGAAATGGGCTTCACACAGTGTACCCATATGGGGATTCGAACCCGGGTCTTCGGTGTGACGAGCCAACACTTTAACCATTAGGCTACCCCACCGCCCCCAAGGGCATTAGAAGTGGAATGCATAAGAAAAGCAAGACTTATGAATGTAAACTTCTTTATTGTGAATAACACGACGTTTCGGAGATTAAGGAGTAAGCATGCACTCCGAAACGTCGTGTTATTCACAATAAAGAAGTTTACATCCATAAATCTTGCCTTTCTTATGTGTAAACTGTTGTAATAATCTCATTACATTCTTTTGTTTAATGTCAGATATAAAAAGTCATGCCCCAGATTAGGTCTTTATGGCAATATAGCTGGACTTTGAAAGGTAGAATTTGTTACTGGGCAGAAGGGTATACCTCAAGTTCTTCTTAACGGGTATCTGTACAACAGAAACAACGTAAAGCACACACACATTGTGTATCAGGCTAACGGATAAATGCAGTGCTTAATGTGCCAGGAATGTACATGATCAGTGATAATGATAATCATGAATATTCATCAGTGGGCGGAGGCTATATGACCACGTCACACGTGTTTCCTACGCACCACTTCTCACTTAAACACGGAAGTGCCTCTACTTCTGCTGAGTCGTGTCAGGTTGAATAGCGTGCAACGAGGGTACATTTCTTGCTGTACAACATAATATAAACAGCCTTATGCTTTCCTTCTTTATTGCTGTTTAAATAATTGTGGAAAATATATCAATATCCAAATGTTTGTTAAAAGTTCAATAGTGATTTGTGTAAGCAATGGTGGCATTAGAGCATATGGGAACTATATTCTCATCATGTTTACCATAGCTGTTCTGTCTTGGAAAATGAATAATGGGAATGGTGTATTAGAACAGTAAATGCTCCTTTTTGTTAAAAGTATGCCATAAGTCCAGTATAGCAGCTGGTATAAGTACTATGAAGAAACACCTTAGCAAAACGCATGTAAGACCCCATCTTAACTAAAAAAATATTACATATTCATCATGCGCCTACTACTACTGCTGCTGCTGCTACTACCACTACCCTTTACATTGATTATAGTTAAATACATCTAGTGTCAGTTATGCATCATTGTATCAAAGGGTTTGACTGACACATGTCATTGTATCCCAATTGCGTAGATCGATGCTCATGCTGTTGATCACTGGATTGTCTGGTCCAGACTCGATTATTTACAGACCGTCACCTTTAATATTGCTTGGCGTGGTGTAAAACTAAACTCACTCACTTTACATTAATGAATCAATGATTTCAGTAAATGCATACAACTTTAATAAAATAAAAAAATGCCCCGTCCTGGCAGAGCCTGTTTTGTTTCCATAATGCAGACAGGGTGGTGTGTACCTGTAGAAAATTTGAGAGAGTTTGAATTCTACTCTTTTGTCACTGTGGAGAGTTGTCTGCAGGTCTCCTCCTCAGCTGATTTTGGTGTTTGGTAATCAATGCTTGCAATTGGGTGATGTGTCATGTTCTTTATCAATAAACTTGAAATACAGGTGTTCTTATACAGTATGAATGAGAACATATGTATACAGGATAGATTTAGTTTACCACAGTTTACTAAAGGTAAAACATACAAATGTGTTTATGTGATTCTTAAGACATCAGAAGTTTAAGTAAATGTTTGGTACATATTTTTAGAATATAAATAAACAGTGAAATGAGATGCAGTTGGTTATGATGCCTTGGCCTCTATCAGTATCATGCCAGTCACATCACAATCAAGGACATGCATGCATTGTCTCAAACCAATATCTGTTTCATGTGTCTGAATGTGCTATTTCTGGTACCCGATCAATAGAAATATCCCAGTGTCTGAATGTGTATTTCGTACCCGATCAATAGGAATATCCCAGACAGACATGCTGAGGACAGAATAGTCTAGTACTATATGTCTGCGTGTCTGTGTGCGTCGTCTGTGTCTGTGTTTGTGTGCATGTGCTCGGAGTGGGCTTGGGGTAGGATTTCTCAACGCTCCATACCCTTAATCCCTGCCCTGTACATATGAATGCAGTACGACATGCTCAATGTAACATCGAGTCAATAGACGAATGCAATGTAAGTTTAAACGGGTTGTTTCACGCACACCGTGTTTACCCTAAACAGCAGAAATCAATGCATGTATGTACTTACTAATGTTGTGTGGACGATTGTATGAATAGAGGACAACACAGTGATACTGATTTGAACTGACACGATGACATACAAGTGAATACGTGTGTGTGTGTGTGTGTGTGTGTGAGTGTGTGTGTGTGTGTTAATGTGTGGGACTGTGGTGAGTGAGTGATAGAGTGAGCGAGAGAGCAGAGTGTTAATGTGATTGGGGCTGTGGATGAGTGAGTGAGTGAGCGAGTGAGTTTTGTGAGTGAGCGAGCGAGCGCGTGCGTGCGAGTGGGTTTGTGGATGAGTGCGTGTGTGCTGTGTGTGTGACCGACGTCTTTGAATAATCGTGATTAGTACAGACAGAGAAGCAATCAATCTAGTCACCTAATCCGTTTTGGGTTTAATTGGCCTGTTTCAACAATTCCAGTACGAGTACGCCACTATATCATACATATACTCAGCAGCAAAAAAAACCGTCAGTACGAATTCAAAATTAGATAGGCACTGTAATCAAATCATTACAGAAATTGACATAATACGCGGATCAAAAATCTTTTTGTGTACAATATCTTGACACATCAATGAATAACATCAATGAATAACTTCAGTATCTCGTGTGACCACCACGAGCGGAAATAACTGCAGCACAGCGTCTATGCATGGAGTGCACCAATCGATTGATCAAGGCCAATGACACCTGGAACCACACTCTGAGAAGGCCTGGCGCAAGAAATCGGCTGTGTTAGACATTATTAAGTCTCCTCTGAATTTCATCCCAAAGATAATCAATTTGGGTTTAAATCAGGACTAAGGGCTGGCCACTGCATAATGTTGACACCGTTCTGCAGTAGGAAGTCCGGTGTAGCTCTGGCAGTATGGGCCCGGGCGTTATCATACTGGAAAATGTTGTTCCGGTGACGTGCGAAATGTGGTATGACGTGGGGTCTGAGAGCTTGATCAATGTAGCCCACCACTGTGATGCCGCCTCCTCTCCCTGGACCAAGGTTCCCTTAATTAACACCACAGGACCCACTCTCTGGTTCAGGCTATTCCACCCCATACCATGATGCTTGCACCTCCCCGTGAGTCTTTTTCAATAACACATGGCTGCAGTTGATTCTGCAGTAAAGCTCTCATCTGAGAACGTCAGTTCTCCATATCGTTTTAGTGTCTGCCAGCTGCAGTTGTTCACGCAGTGACCAATCCTCATGCGTACACAGAACAGTTCTCCATTGCCTGTACCGCCGTGTTGTTGCTGGAATATATAAAAGCGGCGTAAAACCTGTCAGACGTTCACGCTGATGACGAGGGGTGAGGATCGATCCACGGTAAGGTCTACGGCAATGGAGGTTCCCTCTGTTAAGACGTCGGCGTACTGTATCAGTACTGATTGGTCTTCCGTGTGTTCCCACTGTCTGGCGTGCTGTTTCGGATGCCTGCATGAAGGGATTCTGTACGTGCTGTCGCACCCCATGGCGGTCTTGTCGTCTTGTGGTCACAACAGGTCTGCCAGTACGGGGGCGATCATTTGTTGTGTTGGTGGCCCGGAAACGTTGCTGCAGCCTGTAGATGGTCCGAACTTAGACCTGGAAGTGATTGGCAACGGCTTGTGCAGTGTGGCCAGCTTCAAGTGTTCCTAGCGCCTGGTTCCTCTAAGCTGTCGTGAGTGGCGGCATCCTGCTGACGTTGAAATGTGAATGTTTCAACCAGGTTTGGGGGTGTATTTTATAGGGCTGGTCCTATTTATTCTATTTACAGTAGGTGTATATATACGCTGTATTGTTACCTACATGATTAAAGGTGCTTACACGAACGCCAACATTGAGTATGTCAACAGTGACTCATGTTCAATTCTCTGAGGGACTGAGTTTCGCGCCACTTTCAGGACCATTCCTACAATAGTTAAATGCCTTCACACACCGTTCTCATTTTGGGAATCGAACCCACGACGTTAACAACCAGACGACAAGGATATCTATGTATCCTCATAGTCTACCATTATCTCATCCCATAGTCATCATATAATTTTTTATCTCTTTGAGAACAAATCGATTGTCGTTAAAAGGGAGAGACGCCATACAAGTAGCTCCAAATGATTTTTTTTCACTTCCTAAAGAAAACAAATATGACCGTCCGAAGTTAGTTTGATTTTTACATCATATATTAATATATTGACGTCCATATATATCAAAATATTGAAATCTATATTTATTAATATCTAAAAGTCTTTACTTATTTATATCTTGAAGTTTAAATCTACTTATATATTGAAGTCCATATTTATTAATATATTGAAGTCTATATTTATTAATATATTGAAGTCTGTATTTATTAATATATTGAAGTCTATATTTATTAATATATTGAAGTCTATATTTATTAATATATTGAAGTCTATATTTATAAATATATTGAAGTCTATATTTATTAATATATTGAAGTCCATATTTATTAATATATTGAAGTCCATATTTATTTTTATATTGAACTCTATAGTTATTGATTTGATTAGCCACACTGATTCGCAACATTATCCTAAAGAGATCGGAGGAGACATCAACGAATCCTGTTACCAGTTCCAATCCAACACTATAGGGATTCTGATACCTACATGGTTCTCACAACCACATGGCGTACCATGGAATCAATGTCTAATTGTTTCCGTGCGACAATGCTGATAGAATGTTACACAATGTAAATTACATTCAGAAAACAAGCATCGCAGACTGTAGATTGATGAAACACTCACCCCTTGTTATATCTATGATCGCTGATCGCTGTTCGTAGATCGTAGAAGGTTTGTATATTGATGTAAGATTCACTTTTACAGTATTCATTCCGATCATCCATCAATTCATAATGAAGTTGTTTCCATCTACAACATTCACTTCACGAATGATATTCCAAGGAGGGAGGGAGGTTTTGAAATTGTCACAATTGTACAATCGACTCTTATGGATTCTTATGGATATGGGAAAGGTTTTGTCGCTT